GGCGCCACTGTGGCATCATACAGGTGGAAGCGTGTTTGTAGGTCAAGGGCAGGAAGCTGTCTAAGGCGACGTCGATATACCGCTAGCGCACGGCACTCACCAAAGCAACAAGCAATCCGGAACGCGAGCTCAACTGCGAGCTAAGCGAAAAGCGAAGGAAAGAAACGAAGATGGGTGAGTAAGGGTGAGTAAGGGTGAATCCAGACACTTACAGAGCGGTAACCAGACACATATCTATCACGGTCGATCGTGCTTTCTGCTCAGATCCAGGTTACCCGCCAGAGGTGAAGGAGGAGCCGCCAGACGAAGACCATGCCGCCGCACACGAGCCAATGGGACCGTCACAGCCGTCACACCCTGTGCACATCAAGCAGGAACCAATGGCAGACGCACCACCACCTCAAAATGAGCAGCAGCACGGCTATGAAGCCCAACAGATCCATCAGCAGCAGCAGCAGCAGCAGCAGCAGCCGAGAGAAATGCAGCGGTCCGTAGGAAGAGAGAGAGAGAGATGGATCGGCGCATGTGTGTGTGGGTGTGCGCGAGTGTGTGTTCAGAGGCCCCCCGGCGCGTTATCCTGTTCATCATCAAGGCCCTCCCCCACCGCGGCCACCCCCTGGTCCCAGCTTCAGAGAACGAATCGGTACACACCCTTATATCCACCCTGCCCCAACAAACGCGCAAAGGCGCCTGTGCGCCTCGAGGCGGGTCTGTCTGTCTGTCTGTCTGTGACCGGTGTGTGCGTCAGCGCACGGCCCCCATGTGCGCTACTTCCTGATCAAGAGCAACAGCGGCGAGAACCTCAGCACCAGCATGGTCAGTGTCAGTGAGCGGGGCAGTGGGGCTGTCGGCAGAGGGTGAGTGCACGTGTACAAGGCATTCTGTGTGTATGTGAGTGAGTGCAGGAGTTGGGTGTGTGGGCGACGATGCAGCGGAACGAAGAGAAGCTCATCCAGGCTTTCAGGGTAAGAAGCAGACAACCAGGGATCGATTCTCTCTCTCTCTGTCTGCACAGGGAACGAACTTATGCGTGTGTGCGTGCAGTCGTCCTCCGATGTGGTGCTGATCTTCTCCCTCAACGACAGCGGGGCCTTCCAGGGCTACGCAAGGATGAGAAACGAGTGAGGACGCTCATTCACCACACATATGGTGTCACGTGGCTGTGGGTCTGGGTCTGTGTGTGGGTCTGTGTGTGGGTCTGTGTGTGGGTCTTGTGGATGCAGGCCGGGCCAGTCGTCGATCAGGGATGTGTTCGTCAAGCCCAACGGGCAGACCTTCAGGGCCAGACACTTCGACATAGAGTGGATCGAAACGTATGTACGTACGTACGTGGGTATTCGACAGTACACACACACACACACACACACATACACATGAATATGCACGTGCCATGCTGTGTGTGCGCAGCCACGATGTGCCGTTCCAGCTGACGGGCCACATAACCAACCCCCTCAACGACAACAGACCCGTCAAGATCGGCAGAGACGGACAGGTAGGTGAACACACTCACACATGAATATGATTGACGCCGCGTGTCATGATTAGTATGTTTCTTTCCTGTGTGTGTGTGTGTGTGTGGGCGCCGGCCGGTTGCAGGAGCTCTCCCCTGACTGTGCGCGCGCCCTCCTTGCGCTGTTTGACCAACACGGCAACCTCGGTACAGGTGTACTGCACCCCAGCCATTGAGAACAGGGAAGGGCAATCATCGCCTTCGTCTGCACAGGCCCCCCTCCCCCTCCCCCACTCCCCTCCCCAATCCCCCCTCCACATGGCCATTTCCATGACGACCGGCCGCCACCGATGCCACACCCACACCCACACGACTATTGGGGCTATGACGGGTCAGCCAGCCAACCAGCAAGGTGCGCATCCTTTGTGTCTGAATCTCTCTGGAGATGGGTGGATGTGTGTGTGTGTGTCAGGCCTCCACCCCCAATGGCCATGAGCCGGCCGCCAGGGCCCTATCGCCCTCCCCCCGGACCACAGCAGCCTCCGGTGCCATTCAGCTACCAGGACGGGTGGGTGCAAACATACGAGACACTGATTAACGCTCTAAATGCCTCTGTCTGTCTGTCTGTCTATTTTCAGGCCGCCTGCATCTGCTGAGGGTCCGGCGCCAGAAGGTGGTGGGGGCGGTGATGAAGGCAAGAGCGGGAAGAAGCGCAAGAGGGACCTGAAGCGTGGCGACTACTGCTGGATCATCGCAAACATGGTAGGTATACCGTCTGGCACCTGATTGCATTGACACCTCACACCACACTCAGCAAACAGATCGGTTTATCCGGATGGTGCGTGTGTACGTGTGTATGTGTGCATGTGTGTGTGTCTGCACAGTCCTATGAGGAATATCTCGACGCCTACCACCGATGGGTTGCTTTCCAGCAGCAGCAGCAGCAGCAGCGGACGGCCGGTGGTCCGCAGATGGCGTAGCTCGAAGGGAGATGATGATTGCTGTCCTCGATGGTAGGGCCTGTCGCGCATGTGTGCTGGCTACACTATCATGCCTGACCTCCTTCCTACGGCTCGACCGTCCCCCCAGCCAGTGCGTCAGCCGATCAGTTGGGGGAGGGAAATGGCCAGTGGCTCGCCGACTTGTGCTCTTATACATGGATGGATGTCGGCACTTCTATACTATGTGGGGAAACGGTTCGCCGCGCGAATGACCGTCGAATTGTTGAACTACTGAATGCGGTATCGCTCGTGTAGGGATGGATAAAGTCTCACCGCACCACACATGGGACATGGACAAATCCGTCCCCCAGGGGCTCCCCCTCACGGGCCACAAAACACCACACGCACATTCACACACAAACACACACACATACACACACTGTGTCGCTGGTCGCATTATCTTCTACTTTACACACAGACACGCGCACACAGACACACACACGACCCCATCCCCCCCTCGCCATTCCGCAGACTCACACAGAAAGACCGACATACGGGCGGCATCAAGGACTCGCGAATCCCATCTGCTGGTGTGGCTTTCAATCGACAGTCCGTGCGTGAGTGACACACTCCATCCGCAGCATCGGTTTGCGCGAATGGAGCGGCCGACCCACACACAGATGGACAATCGAAAGGCACACTCACACAGACAGACAGACAGACAGACAGACAATCACAGTAGAAGCACCATCCCTCCCAAGCATGTAAAAGCACGCACGCATAGACCTCTCTTCTCTTCTCTCTGTGTCGCCCCCCTCTGTGCCTCTCCCGGCCGCGTCTGCAGAGGAAACCCGATGCTGCCGTATCGTGACAGCACTAGATCGCCTCTGCAGCCCCTGGTCAAAGACGCACAGGGGGAGACACTTTGCAGAGAAAACAGCCCATCATGTGCCAGCCAGAAACCACCCCGTGCACCCATATTTGCTGCCTCCATGTCTCCATTCATTGAGCGACACACGCGTGCCGTCAAATGGCGCACCACGCGAAAAAGGTGCGGTCGCCACCACATGAACACACACACATGCACGTCAGCAGCATTATCACGCAATCAAAACCCGAATAAAGAGGCGCACAGGCGCGCAGGTGCTATACCGTGCTGAGCGAGGCCACTCGCTCGTCTCACATGAACACGTGCATCGATGCGACATGGACTGCGATATGTGTCTGTAAGTGTCCCTTCTTAAAGGTTGAGAGGGAACTTGTGCACGTTGATCTCATAAAGCCAGTCGAAGTACTTAACAGCCTGCACGGTATGGTCATCCCAACACACACGAAGAGACAGAGACTGTCGGTTTGTTGTGCAGTTGACGGCAGTTTGCGGCCGGCCTTGTGCTGACTGACCTTCTTGGGAAAGTTTCGGAGGTCGAACCTGCTGAGCTGACCTGCGGAGTCAAACCGGTGGGGGGACCGTGCCGCCTCATCGCGGATGAAATCCGACAACCACCTGACAGACACAAAATGCACACGCAGCCGTGAGGGGATCATGCCTCTCTGATCCATCACGTGTGTGGTCGTCACCTGAGTGCTCGTTTGGTCTGGTTGTTGGGCGCTTGGGTGTGGTCGACGTTCCAGGGCAGGACCTCTGGATGGAATTGGGTGGCGTATATGGGCAGGTGGGGCTGCCGCGCCTCCATAGCCGAGATGAAGGGACGGCCGATGCGATCTGTGTTGACGGCCAAGGCGCTGAAGCAGACGACAGACAGACAGACAGACAGACAGACAGACAGAGGTGTGTCCGGTGCGTCTGTGGATGTGCTGCTAATGTACCGAAAGCTGTGTGCAAGGCCTGTCTGGATGAAGTCGGTCGGACTCACACCCCACTCGTGGAAGTTGGTGGTCGAATTCTGACCAACACACAACACACATTCTCCCAACAAGTAGCCCTTTCCGTTTCTCCCTGCCTTTGCCCATCTCACCTGGTCTCTGAGTGCCATGACCACCTCTTCTGGCGCCTCGCCGAACAGGCGAGAGTACCTCTCAGTGCCGTGTGTGAGTGGCAGGGGCAGCACCAGGCTTTCCGCATCGGTGCGGGTGAGGATCTGCCAGCCGCCCTCAAGCACTGCCAACACTGCACACACAAGAGGCGCACACTGGCGTACGGATGCGTGTCTGTCTGTCGAGTGTGTGTGTGTGTACCTTCAAACCCTTGACAAGTGCCCCAGATGACGAACGAGTTTGGTCGTCTGGCGTTCATCTGGACGGCCTCGTCGTAGATGAGCTGAGCGGTCCGCATGTACTCGTTGGGATGCGACGAATTGACGATCGAGTGGCCGCCTTGAAACATCACACCGTTCACCTGCACGCCATTTCACGGCACCACACACGCATCACTTGACTCACATGAACATGTAGCAGCGGTGCATGCGCCTCGCTCACCCTTCTGAGCAGCTGTCTGAGGGTGTTCTCTGGCGCATCGTACGGCAGAGGGATCACACGGGAGCCGCCCTTGTCTAGCCACTCGACAAATGACCCTCCTGCAAACACACAAAGCGACACACACGCACAGGCGCCCAAACACCAGCGGATAAAGCCACATAAGGCAAGTGCCCGGCTGCCTCGCTGACCTATATACGATGTGCCCGTGAGATTGAAGGCCTCCCTGAAGCTCTCGTCCGTTGGATTAGTTACAACACCTATCACAGGTCGGGCAGATGTGGGCGGCGCATCCCCGATCAGAGAGGGCTGGTAGTGCGGCCCGTGTAGCATGACGGCGGTCAGCGTGACGGATGCGATGGCCGCCAGACAGAGCACCAGGATGACCACAGCGGAGGGCCGTGCTGACGAGGCGGCATCATCATGTGACACCAGCAAGGGCGCGCTGAGGGCGTGGCCCTTCATTCCGAGTCTGGCAATGGCAGGGCGCCTCCTGATCTTTTGTCGTCGTCTTCTTGCGGGACACGAAAAAGGATCGGGCGCCGATCGCCGTCGGAAAAGAGCAGCGAAAGAGAGGCAGGAGGGCAGGAGATCCTCGAGTAGCAGGTGAGCGTGGCTTTCATCTCAAAGATCTTGGAAAAAGGTGACGTGCATCTGCGTGTGTTTGCAGTTGCTTGTTCGGTATTCAGCAGGGCAGATGTCGGCCGAGTCTGACGCCAGCGGCACTCGCACCCCGCCTGCCAACTACGAGGAGACCCGGCTCGGCATGTATCGAGAGCTCCTGAAGCGTGACGCCGGGCTGGCGAGTGAGCAAGACGCCTACGGCCGCACGCCCATCCACCACATGGCCGCCACGCCCACAGCCTTCTCCCAGCGCTTCCTGCAGAGCTATCTCGACCTCCTCACATCACACGGGGCGCAGGTCGACCACCGAGATCTGGCTGGCAAGACGCCGTTGGAGCTGGCGGCCGTGTGCCTGAGCGAGCAGCAGAAGGGCAAGGCGGCGCAGGACGCCATCGAGCGGCAGACGGAGGTGATTCGGATGCTGCTGCGGAAGGGTGCGTGTGTGGATCTGCTGCCCAAGGCGACGCCCCAGCAGCGGCACGTGAGGGGGTTGGTCAAGAAGATCGATGAGGAGGTCAAGCAGGCCGACTGACTGACTGACGGACTGCCAGTTTTCAGTTTTGCTGCATACGAAATGAATAGCTTCCTTTTGTACCCACGTTGATGCTTTTGTAACGTCTTGGAAAGACACGTGGAGATATTGGGAGGGATGCTCTTGCTGTGTGGCTTGTCTGTCTGTCTGAGTGTGTCTTTTGATTGTCCATCTGTGCGGGTGTCGTCCGCTCCGTTCACGCAAACCGATGCTGCGGATGGAGTGTACGACACCTGTCTGAATGGCCAAGCGAAAGACACACCAGCAGATGATGTCTACGGACGGCTGCTCGGTGGCGGCTCTGTTTTCTCTGTCCATGTGTCTGTCGCCCGTTGGCCAAGAATGACTGGCCCTGTTTTGATGCATGTCCGTGTTTGTCGGTGTGTGTGTGTCGAGTAGGGGTGGGTGATCTGTGGCGAGCTGACGGAAGTGACGGATTTGTTTGTCATCAATGCATCGATTCCATGCATGATTTATTAGACTTTCTCCGTGCATACCAACCAATGAATGCACGTGGACACGTCACCCATTGCACGAACGCCTTCCTGACGAACGCAACGTCCATGGATTCGATCCAATCAGCAACTGCGTTCGTTCGTTCGTTCGTTCGTTTGTTAACGGACACCGAGGTCCCGGCCTCTGAGGGCAGATGCTGTGTCCATGAAAGCGTTTGTCATATCGAGAAAACTAAGCTGACGGGTGCAAAGAAAGCCAGCGCTTGCGAGAAGCCACGGCCATCAAAAGAAACTGAGCCAACGCACATTGCACAGGGAGAGAGCGCGAAGTAAGCAATGACCATGCGAACACCAGGGCATCACAACGAGCGAGATCCCACCAAAAATACACCACACCATCCGGTGCAGTCAATCCATACATGCGAACAACACGGAAGACCTCCCTACGTGGAGAGCTATAGAGCGGGCAATAGAAAAGCACATGCAACTCATCCTCAACAGGCGGCACAAGCCACGGCATCGGCCAGCTGGCGGGAGGGCAAGTAGCAGCGCAGAATGGGCAGAAGCGTAGGAGACGAGACCGATGAGTCAGCCGACCATCTGTGACAGCACAAGTATAGGTGCCGGTGCGGAATGAAAACAGCATACGGCGCTCAGCAGAGGGGAGAGAAAAATAACATGGGAGAGTGGACAGGGGGTGAACTAGACGATAAAGCCAATCCTGACCAGACTCAAGAATAAAATCACGCAGGAATGCAGGCACATATGTGGGCAGACAGACAAGACAATCGCGATCGAGGCAGCAACGCTGGTTACGAGAGGCAAAAATCCGGCGAACCACCGGGAATGTGTGAGGGAAGTGATGATTGAAGAAGGCTGACGCAGTGAAAAGGCATTGTCGTGCAAGGAAGAGAATACGACTGCGAGCAGTAGACCTACTATAACCCCGCCATGGCAACAGACACAGAGGAAGTGAAGCAAGGGAGAGGGGTGGAGGAAGAGAAGGCGCGTCACGCAGTACGGTATGATTGGCGCGAAT